TTAGTAATAACGATAAATAAAAACTAAATTAGATAAAAAAAATTTTAAAAATATATAAAATTCTTCTAGTTAAAGAAAAGTCTCTAAAATCACTATGGCACAAGAAAGACATTTGTGTTTTATATATAGAAATTAATTATTCTTTAATTAGTTACTAATTTTCATTTAATATATATTTATACAAATTTTAAATATGATTTATTGATTTAACTATAATATTTATTTTTATATATAATTTATTATAAATTTTAATTATATATAATAAAAATATAACTTGTGAAATACACAGACTAAAATATTAATATTTTTTAATTTAGATACAAATTATAGTATTATATTATATTGTAATTTGTGAAATATACTGGAATGAGAGGGATCTAAAGATTGTACAAGTATGAGATTGTATAGTTAAGTATGACTTAAAAGAATTAATTTGTACTATTTATATCAATGAGATGCATCTATTCTTTGGTAGCTTATTCCTTAAGAACTTCACAATTAAGCGTGTCTGACATGAAATAATTTAAGGATGGGTGACCTTTTAGGAAGTTTTTCAGAAAAATGTGCAAGTGACGACAAGGCACTTTGAAAAGTCTTGTGTTAATTCGTGGGGTTTGATCCTAAAAGCGGACGAATATCTTAAAAACAATTACCCATGGAAGGTTCTAGTTGGTGAAGGGTTCTAACTAACAAGGAGTTGCGTGAAGTGTCTTGGAGTAGAGTTGCTAGAAGGTCAGATATGAGGGATGTTGCACTAAATAAGGATGTTATTTAATATAATTTTGAAATGATTTTTTAAAAATATTATTAATACCTATAGATTTTTTTCGTGGGTAATTCCATGGGTAAAATCTGTGAGTAATTACCCATGGATAAAATTCGTAATTCCGTCGGAAAGTTACCGATGGATTATTGTCCGTCTGTAATCCGTCGTAAATGAAGTGTTACCCATTGATTTTTTGGATTACCCACGGATTTTGGTCGTTTGTAATTTCAAAATTTCTTGTGGTGTCCAAAGTTAATGGCAATGCAAAGGCAAACATGACTCAATATAAAAGTTTGGTTGGTAGTCTTCTTTATTCAACTACAACATAACTAGATTTGATGTTCTATAATAGGTTACTTTCAAGATTCATGCATTCAACAAGTTTGACACACTTTGATGTAGGCAAAAAAAGTGTTAAGATACATGAAAGGTATTGTTGATTTTAACATTTGGTACAATAAAAGTGATGGAAAGATTGAAGGTCTTATTGATACACTACAAGAAAAATGATGATTTTCGACAGAAATTTCCGACGGAAATAGCTAAATTTCCGACGGATTTTTCTTTTTCCGACGGATTGAAATCCGTCGGAAAAAGTGGCGCCGGAAAAAAAATCCGTCGAAAATAATTTTTCCGACAGAAAATTCCGGCAAAAAATTATAATTTTTTTTAATTTTAATAAATTTATTAATGTAACAACCCTAATATTTAGTCTCTCAGGGTTCTATTTCACAATATTTCACTGTTTAGCATGTTTTACTCTTTTTTCTCTCTCTAAAATTTTTACCTCTCGGTCAGTTATAAATTTTCCACCTCCCTGCCCCTATTTATAGGCAACCTGGTGCACCCGGAACGGCCCGTACTGATTTCGGAACGGCCCGTTCCGGATCCTTCAAACGTGGGCAAATTTTTCAACTGGAACGGCCCGTTCCAAAATCGGAACGTCCCGTTCCAAAATCGGAACGGCCCGTTCCCAAAAAGCAGAACGGCCCGTTCTAAAATCAGAACGTCCCGTTCCGAGACTCATCCAGAACGGCCCGTTCTCCCTCCGGAACGGCCCGTTCGCCCTCCGGAACGGCCCGTTCTCCCTCCAGAACGGCTCGTTCCAAAACCAGAACGGCCTGTTCTCCTTTTGGAACGGCCCGTTCTGGGCCCGTTCTCACTAAAAAAATTTAGTATAATTTTTAAGCTTGGAACGGCCCGTTTTGCTTTTGGAACGGCCCGTTCCAAGTTACCAAAACACCCCTTAAATTTTTTTAAAATTGCGAAAATGCCATCAGTAATAAAATTACAAGAATACCCCTATACCTTTATAAAATTTACGAAAATGCCATTGATAAT